GCCGGGCCACGGCCTTCCGGGCCCGGTCACCGACATGGAGTCGCCCGCGTTCACGGCCAAGTACATTCGCGACTTTGACATCGAGACGCCCAAGGCTGCCAACAGCACGTACCTCATTGCGGCCATGAAGGCCTTGTACCCCACCATCGGTGGCGTCGACAGCCTCGAGCTCAGCGCCAAGGTCGCCAAGGGCGAGATGACGTGGGTCTAATCGACGCAAGTCAACTAGAACGTTTTCTGGCTATTGTAAACTATTATCTTTTCGATTGAAACAATTGTACTTTTTCAAAAGTCGGTGGGGCATCCGAGTGGATGTAGGTAGTACCAACAAGCGACAATAGGGGCCGAGCTTGATTGTCGAGCCACTGCAACCATTGGCACTAGCATGGACATTCTTTTCCTGACTCATATCTGTCGTCTCAGTATCCGATTATAGAACAATGGTATGCAAAGATGTAGATGCAATGCACAATGTGTCTAGAACTTGAACTTCTTACGAAGCACCCGCTGTCGTTAAAGACAAAGCAACACTGTTGCCACGGCGAGAGACATCGACAACGTCAAAACAACGAGTATGTTATCAAAACAGTATACGTTGTCGTGGGAGGCGCCTTCATCCGTGCCATCGTTGTTTATCAGGTGCGGATGCTGTTGGCACGGTATATATCCGCTTTCAGAGCACAAAAAGTCGTAGAACACACGACAAGTGGCATTATGTCATTTACGGGTTGGCGTACTTTGCATACGCGTTGATATAGTACTCAGGGTCACGCACCGTGAGCTTGAACGCCGGGCGTGCGATCGCAGCTTCGTACGCCGCCGTGAGGAGCGGAAAGCCTTTCGTAATGTCAAAGTCGCGGTAATGACTCAAGACGTGCTTGAAGCGGAAGAGGAACGGCACGATGTTGATCTCGGCGCTGCTGAGGTCGGCGCCGAGAAGGTATGGGCCGTCGGCGCGAAAGTCGGCTGCGTGGTCGCGGTAGATCTTTTCGAGGTCGCCGAGCGCGGCTTCGATCTTGGCCTCGAGCTCGTCCTTCTTGGCCGGGTCCTGGTTGCGGAGAAGTGCGTAGAACGGACCAGCCTCAAACTTGGCTTGGGCCAGCTGCGCCAATGCCGCGCGCTCGGGGCTGTCGCGGTTGTGGAGCTTCCCGCCGTTGTATTTGGCGTCCAAAAACTGCGCCACAATCGCTGACTCGTACACAGGGTACCCTTCGTGGACAAGGAACGGCACGGTGTGATACCGGTTGAACTTTTCGACGTAGCTGGGCGGCATTTCGGCGTAGAGACCAATCTCGTAGACCGTAAGTGGTGCGTCGACTTCGGCGGCGGTCCACAGCGCGCGGTGGCCGAATGGGCAGCCAATGTTGTTGAAGAGATGAACCTTGCCGTCCGTCTTAAGCGCGTCAAGGTCAGCGTCCGAGAGCGACGTGTACGCGACGGTCGTGAGTTGCTGAGCGGGCATACTTGCAAAGGAGGATATGGAAAAATGACGATCTTAGCGCGCGCTTTGGCTCGAAATTGGTTCAGATGCACGATTTCTCATTTATAGCAATATTAAAATTATCCTCTTGTTTGTATGGAGACGGGGCGGATTTGGTGACATTGCACTTGGCGAGTGACGTGGCACACCAGATGGCGAGCAAATCCTGCGAATTCGGCACCGTCAGCCAATCACGTGGCGTCGTGCCATCTACGCAAGGCTGCTGGCAGCTGTGCCCCTCGGACCTTCTTCGTTGTCTTCGAGTCCTCGCATGTATCCTGTGCGACGCTAGGAGCAGTATAATGCCACGATTCCTCCCGACGTCTTCAGCTGCATCCTCCGAAGCTTCCGACGTTGCAAACTCGAGCGTTGTACAACCGCCACCGGCCGCACGTTGTCGCTTTCATGGATTGGCCAAAAAGACAAAGATTTGTCGGCCATCACGCGTGATGATTGGTTAAAGGGTACCGTATTACCTCATCATCGCAAATACCAAACGTCCAACAGCCATGATCGCAGCCGTCGCCCAACGCCTTCCTCGCCGCTTCCGTGGAAGCTGCAGTCATTTCCAAATTGCCCACGTCGCGACCACTTCAAAAATGACCTTTGAGATCACCGACTTTAACACGCTCTCGGCCGCGGACCGCGCATCGCTCAAGACGAAGGACGGCAAGGTCCACCTCTTCAACAACCTCATTTGCCCGTTTGGGCACCGCGCGCTGTGGTCGGCGGTCGAGTCGAACGCGCCGTTCCACATGATTGACGTCTCGCTCGCGTCGATGCCCGAGGCGTACATTACCGAGTTCAACCGGTACCATACCGTGCCCTTCCTCCTCGACGACGGCACATCGATCTTCGAGTCGGCCATTATCGCGCAGTTCCTCGACGTCAAGTACAACGGCGGCAAGCTGCACCAGCGCGACCACCCCGAGCACGCTGCGTTGGCGCAGCTGGCCCAAGCCAAGCTTGAGATTGGTCCGTTCTATGGACTCTTGCGCAACCAGGACCCGGCCAAGAAGGAGGGCTTTGAGGCCGACATTCGCGAGACGCTCGACGAGCTCGAGAAGATTTACCGGGAACACGCGGCCGAGTTCCGCGCCAAGGGCCCGTACCTCTTTGGCGATCAGCTGAGCAGCGCCGAGATCAACATCATCCCGTTCTTCTTCCGCTTCCAGATCATTCTCAAGCACTACCGCGACTTCGAGCTTCTCAAGGGCTACCCGCTTCTCACGGCCGCGTACGAAGCCGCGGTCGAACGCCCGGCTTTCAAGCAGACGATCAAGGAGCCCGAGTTTTTCATCAACGCGTACGCCAAGTACGCCAACCCGTAAACGTCCTAATGTAATTTTACGCCCCACGCCTCTGTAATGACGCGTCTCGAGTTTGAAGCGGCAATGCTATCTGACGAGCCAAACGAGAGTTCAAGCATTGCAGTAAGTTGGTTATCCTACCGCATTCCTTTCTTGCCGTGCGGGCTCGCAGTAGCTAAAGGCCATAGGTGTTAATTATCACACAGTTTTGTTTGGACATGAACGAGTTTCTCGGGATGACACGCCATCTGTCCTCCTGGTTTGACAGCATTCCTTCCATGTTACTGACAGCAACGGACATTTGTACAATTCGCAATTGGGGTAATATCCACTGTACATTCTGTCTCGCGTTTTTCAAAGATGGAGCGCGATGTACAAGGTTCGTCAAAAAAGAGGTATAGAAAATGTTTACGCAAACTTGGC